CATGACAATCTCAATAAGTGCAAAAAAGTATTCACAAAATTCAGTTTCAATCATGATGTTTTTAAAAAAATCCCTTAACAAACAAGGAATAGAAAAAACTTCCTAAATCTGAGAAAGGATATCAGAAAGCAATGTAGGGCTTCTGGGATTCTTTTTTTGAGACAGAGTCTTAGCTTCTCACCCAGGCTGGAGTGCAGTGGCAAGGTCTCAGTTCACTGCAACCTCTGTCTCCTGGGTTCAAGCAATTCCTGTGCCTCAGCTTCCCATGTAGCTGGGATTACAGGTGCCCCCCACCACACTTAGCTAATTTTTGTATTTTTAGTAAAGACAGGGTTTCACCATGTTGACCAGGCTGGTTTTGAACTCCTGACCTCATATGATCCTCCCACCTTGGCCTCCCAAAGTACTGGGATTACAGGTGTGACCCATCATGCCTCGCCTGAAACCTTATTTCTTGACCCTAGAGTTTGCTGTATAATAATTACATCTATGCACTTTCCTTTGTGTTATTTTTCACGACAAAAATGTTTTTAAAAAGACAGGAGAAAGAGAGAAAGAAAAAGAAAGATTTAGAAGCAGATTGAGGCCGGGCACAGTGGCTCATGCCTGTAATCCCAGCACTTTGGAAGGCTAAGACAGGTTGATCACCTGAGGTTAGGAGTTTGCGACCAGCTTGGCCAACAAGGTGAAACCCCGTCTCTATTAAAAATACAAAACTTAGCTAAGCACGGTGGAGCACACCTGTAGTCCCAGCTACTCAAGAGGCTAAGGCAGGAGTATCACTTTGAACCCAGGAAGCAGAGGTTGCAGCAAGCCAAGATCATGCCAATGCACTCCAGCCTGGGCATCAGAGTGAGACTCCATCTCAAAAAAAAAAGAAGAAGAAAAGAAAAAAGTCAAAACTATGTTTTAAGACTCAAAACTGCTATAATATCTGAGTGGCCACTCAAGACTAGCCTTATGAGTGGTGGGACTTAAAACTAGACCAGCTAAGCTGAACTGAAAGACTCTAAACCCTTGTGAGTTGGGATGGCTTCTCTCCCTCAGGATGGCAGTAGGTGGGCAGAGAACCAGCACTGGGCAAGATGGAGAAATCATGGGCTCCTGCTCTGGAGAGGGGCCCATTGTAGCAGTCTTGCAAAATGACACAGAAGCCACTAACGAGAATTAGGAGTCGCCTGGGACCCTGAGGAACAGAAGGGACTGAGATGGTGAGAGGGAGGGCAGTGCGTGGAGAGGTGTTGGTATCTCAATCATGAAGTGGGTGGGTGGGGATAAAGAAACACCCAGAGTTCTCATCTCCCAAGTGTGAGAAAATCTTCAAATTCCGAGATTCTAAAATTAATATAACAAATAATTACTGAGTGCCTACCACCCACAAGCACAAAGAATTCATGATTTTGAAGCTTGCCTTTGTAGGACTTCATCTCTTAGCCTAATGATTACATGCAGTTTTTCTGGCAGCTGTCAAAGGGGAAGACCATATAGCCAGCTGCTGACAGAGTTTTAGTGTCAACATTCCGGGAGGGCTGGTTCGGTATTAAAATTAAGTAAGACATAAGTTGCCATGGGCAAGATACACTCTGAGCCAGTGATTGTGGTGATGAGTAAAAGTTGATGTCTGAATGTAAGGATCCTGGGCCATGCACATGACGTTTCTGCTCTACATCACATATACTGATGATCTGAGTGAATGAAATGACTGTTGATCATGAAGCAAATGTTTAATTCATATGCAAATTTAGGATTTCTAGGGTGATAGCAAGGTGAATTGTCATAGAAGGTAGAACACTGGTCAGAAATCTAGCATGTGCTGGAAACACATGGGCTCTAGGGGACCCCAAATGGCAAGTATGAAAGAATAAGCCTGAGTGAAGGTGGAGAGGACATCTCATTAGGCTTGGTGCTCCACTTCTGTATGGCTGGGAGAATTTGGTGACCTCCAGCCCAATTGCTCACAGCCCCTGAGAAGCGTTGGTCACTAGAAGGCTGAGGTCTTGTCCCTGCTGGAAAAGAGCTGTGAAGGGGCAGGCATGTTTTTGGTTCAGGACAACCTCTCCAGAGCCTCTATCTGCTGGGAACTGTGAATTCATCAGGGTTACAGTTGGAAAAAGTCTAGCTATGAGGCTGGGGGATCTTGAGCCACAGGATGCACAAGCAACTGTCAGCTCACCATTCACAGACGCTCATGGATCTGTCTCAGTATCAACCTGTCTATGGCTTATTCGGGCCAGACTTCTGCTTCTTGCATGTATTTATGCTGTTACCCAAATGTGTACACTTAGCTTTTTAGGTAGCATCATCATTTCACCAAGGATAATTTAGAATTCTGGTACCCTAGCCGTTATGAGGAATTTCTGATATCAACAAAAGTATTCACTTTAGAATGCAAAGTGAACACAATTCCAGACATCCAATGGTCTTCGTTTTTTTTTTCATTAGCATGAGCAAGCATACAAAGGAAAATTCTTTTTTTTTTTTTTTTGAGATAGGATCTCACTCTGTCACCCAGGCTGGAGTGCAGTGGCATGATTTCAGTTCACTGCAACCTCTGCCTCCCGGGCTCAAGCGATCCTCCTACCTTGCCCTTCAAGTAGCTGGGACCACAGGCACCCTCCCACCACGCCTGGCTACTTTTTGCATATTTTGTAGAGATGGGGTTTTGGCATATGTTGGCCTCCCAAAGTGCTGGGTTTAGAGGAGTGAGCTACCATATCCAGCCCCCAAAATTCCTTCCTTAACAGATTTCTTGGCCAAAGCAAAATAAAAAGCTGAACTGCTTAACCCTATCTTTTAGACGTCCCCTGCACTATATCACAGCTCAAACCTATTTCTTTCCCCCACCCTATGCTCCTCCATCTCCCTCTGCCCTTTTCTCTCCATCGGGCCCACTCCCCTTTCCTTCTGGTTGGTTAGGTACCCCAAAGCTCACTTAACTCTAAGGTAAACCTCCTTCAGAATAGAAAAAAAATTTCTATGGTGGATTTTAAGTCCCGTTTTCATTTTTAGCTGAAAGCCATTGTAAAATACTCTTCAAGGCCTAAACGGGACTTCAAAGTGTTTTAGGAACATATAATCCAGAGAAGCCAGATTTATAGCAATTCATTTATATGCCAATAGGAGCCTCAGATGCAAAACATTCGATGAAAAAGAATGGAAAGCCCCTGCAATGATGATTTTTTTATTTAGGGTCTCACTAGATTGCCCAGGCTGGTCTTGAACTCCTGGACTCCCACCTCCATCTCCCAAACTGTTAGGATTACAGGCATGAGCTGCCATGCCTGGCCCAACGGTGATTTCAAAGACCATGGATTGCATAGGAAGCTGAAGGGGTTTGGGGAAGCTGTGAATGTTAGTCAGGGTCTTTTGGAGCCTATCTGCTGTCTTCCTTATGAAAATGTGCTCTGATTAGTTCTTTGTCAGGAGAGAAGTCTGTTCAGCAGGTTATGGACTGAAAAAAAATACAGATACATATGTGTGCCTGTGTGTATATATGTGTGTGTAAAAGAGAGAAGTCTGATGGAGACTTCAGGCTAGGACCTTTAGTATCTAGTGGCAGAATTCTGGAGCAGATATTGAAGCGGATGTGATGTGGCTCTTTTCTCGTTTTGTGAATGGCCTTAAGCCAGAAATAGGGGGTTTATTATGTAAGCAAAAACTAGAATGGGAAACAGCCCCATGGCCAGATCTCCAAAACCTCCTTGAACGTTTTGAAGGAGTGCTAGAACTAAGAAACTAAAGAAAAGGAAAAAAGCAAAGAACAAGTCACCGATGAAGATGTTCAATTCTCCATTCTGCATTTAAACTCACAAGGAAACATTTCTCTAAAACATAAGGACAACCTTACAAACTTTTGATGGATATAGGCACAAAATATCAATCTTGATCACTATTACACAACCAGAGGGCTGGGGTCTTGACCTTACTGGAAAAGAGTTGTGAAGGGGTCAGGCATGTTTTGAGGAACAGCTCATTAGAAATATGAGCCATGAAGACTGTGTTCCTCCCCACACTACATATATGAGTACTGGTGACCCCCTCAAAGAAACAAGCAGTGATTCCCTCTTCAGTTAGTTCCCTAGTGCCCTGCAACCTGGGGGCAGGGCTGGCAAAGGACTAGGAGAAAAAAGGCAGGAAGGGAGGTCTTATTTCTAACAAGGTCCCTCTTAACCCTGCTGTTCACTCCCTGCCCCAGGGCTGACTCCTAGGAATGCCAGGCTTGGGGCAAATCACAGTGTGTTCTCAGGTCAACCTAATCCAACCTCTCTCTCCAAGTGAAATCCGGTTCTGGTGACCATCAAAGGCTGTCAAAAAGGATAACAAAAAGCCAGCTTGAGGAGTTGACAGGATTTTACAGGCTGCTTGAGTAAACTTTCCCTTCACCTACCTCCTGCCCTCGGGGGATTCAGAACAGACCCCAGGTGCTCAGAGCAGCACCCACCGTTATGAAATCCAGCCTACCAAACAAGGACTTGAGCTGCATTTAGAACCCGGAGAGGAGGGCATCCCCAGGGGAGTTGGAAGGGGGAACCGGAACAGGAAGATTGTCTTCAACTAATCACCCTGTGTGGCTCCGTGTAAAAGGCCACGTGGGACTATGCACTAGGAGCGCCGGTTCTGCTTGCCATAAAAAGCTTCCCACGGTTACAGTTGTCCAGAAACATGTAGGGCAGTGGTGAAGACCCCAGAGGGAGGACGTGGGGCCCCTTCTAACTCTTAGGAGTCTGCTCAAAAACTTGCCCTGACCCTGCTGTCTTTTGGGTCTTCAGTCTGGACCATACAATATGTCACTTAAATGCAGGTGATTTTTTCGTTTTGAATCTTGCTGTGGCTTCTCCCGCACTGGTCTGTGAGCGGCTCCCGTCTCGACTGCCCCCGCTCGACCCCGCCCCTAATCCTGTTAACTTCTGGACATCCCACAGCGCCGGGCTAAACCCTGCTAAGCGCTCCATAAAGCTTTGATCACAGTCTTAGACCAGGATGAAGAAATAAATAAATACCAAGTTGGTGAAACAGCCTAAAGCCTTTAAGGAATCCAGGACAACAGAGATTCCACAGAGGACAGGCCAACGGGTTAGTGTAGGCAAGTGGTTGGAAAGAGGAACTCCGCTAAGATAAGAAAATACAAATGCTCCCAGCAGCCGGGCGTCCAGAGAGTCGCGGCCTGGGAATGGGCCTGGGTCCTCGCGAGCATGCCGGGCCCGCGTCGCAAAAGGGCCGGGCGGGCGACCGCAGGCCAGCTCCCGGGAGGCTCGCCGTCGGGGTTGGGGCCTGTCGGCCGGCCTCCCCGTTTTTGTGACGTGCCGGGGGCAGCAGCAGTGACGGGGCCTCCACACAAAGCCGGGTCGTCGGGTGGGGGTCTCCCAGGCCAAGAGCCCCGATGGGATGGGGAGGGAGCGGGAAGCGAGGCGCCCTGGGGCGCCCCGGCTTCGCGCAGGATTAAAGTGAGCTCGAACTCCGCGGCGGCGGCGGCGGGCAGCGGGCACCTGGGCGGCCGCGAGCTCCCATCGCGCGCCTGGCTGCAGTGGCCGCGCTGGCAGCCCGCGAGGCGGGCTCGCCAAGGCCTCACCACGCCCCCGCGGGGGTGGAGCCGCGGCCAGGGGCGGGTTCGCAGCTGGCGGAGCCTGGGCCCGGGGCGGAGGCTTTGGCAGAGGCTGCGGCGGCGGCGGCGGCGGCAGCGCCAGGAGCTGCTGCAGCAGAGGCGGAGGTTGCTCCTGGACGCGTCTGGGCCGCGCAGCCGGAGCCACAGCCCGGAGGCGCCAGGCGGTTCGCTGAGTGCTGCTGCTGCTGCTGCTCGCCTGCCGCCGCCCGGGCCCCCGCTACCGCCCGGGCCCCTGCTACCTTCTGCGCCCCCGTCGACCCAGCCAGCGAGCGCGCCCCAGCCGGGACGCCGCCCCCGACCGGGTCTCCACTTCTCGGCCGCACCTTCCATGACAGCGCCCGCGAGAAGATGGCTGCGAAGGGCGCGCACGGCTCCCACCTGAAGGTGGAAAGCGAGCTGGACCGCTGCCGCGCCGAGGGCCACTGGGACCGCATGCCGGAGCTGGTCCGGCAGCTGCAGACGCTGAGCATGCCCGGCAGCGGAGGCAGCAAGCGAGCTAGCCCGAGCGCCGCGTTCGCCTCTCCCGACACCGGTGAGTGAGGGAAGGGGCTGACTCGCCGGCAGCGAGCGCGCGAAACGCACCGCCTCCTCCAGGAAGCGCGACCCGACCGTCTTCGGCCGGCAACGGCCGCCTGCCCGCCCACAGTGCTGGTCTTAAGAGCAGCCAGGATAGTTAGGAAGGCCCTTCTGCCGCAAGAGGAAAACCACAGGCAGGTTGGGGGCTTAGGGGAAAAGGGAGAGACGGCTTTTGCTCTCTGCCTTTTAGGATCATGTGGGTAACTCCGTCTACCGTAAAATGGTGGTATCTGCACGTTATGAGATTGGTGCATAGGCTGGACTCAGCCCCTCACTGCAACCTGAACTTCCTCGGCTCAAGCCATCCTTCCACCTCAGCCTCCCAAGGGTCCGAGGGTGGGATGGCCCTAAACTTCATCAGGTGAAGTGTGTCTGTCTCTTCTTTGTCCATTTCTTGAGAGTAAAGTTGAAAACGGAGCTCCGTCCACAGCAGACAGGGGCGAGGGTTTGACGGGCTTCAGGCTGGGGTGGTGGAGAAATGGGGAAGAGGCTTGGCAAGCCTCAGTTTCCTCATCTGCGGCGATCTCAGGACACATCCAGCTCTTGCAGTCGGTGGCTTTAGCGGTAGGGCTGGTTTGGCTGGGCCGGGCTCCTGTGCTGGGGCGGGAAAGCACCCTGATGTGGCAGCAGGGAACACCCCGCCCGAGTCTCTAACCTCAGATCCTGTTCCTGGGGCCTTCAGCTCACCCTCCCTGAGTCCCTCTCTGTGGGCACAATCACTTAGGAGGCTTTGCAGAAGGAGGCAAAGAACAAATAAATACAGATATAAAGAGTTTTTAAAGACTGCCCAGCCTGCAGAAGGCTCTGAGAGGGACAGATCATGATAATAATAGTAATAGCCAACACTTAATCTCGTGCTTCCTGTGTGCCTCACACTGTCCTGAGCACTTTAATCAACCCCAGGAACCAGGTACTCTGGTTTGTCCCACTTTACAGATAAGGAAACTGAGGTACAGAGCAACTAAATAACTTGATCATCTAGCCACTAAGTTGTGGAACCAGGATTTGAGCTCAGGTTTCTGAGTATACCCTTTAAATCAGTTGCACTATTACCTCTCAAAAATGTACCCCTCAAAATCCTTGCCCTTGAAGAGCTCCCACAGTGAATGGGGAGGCAAGAAAGTGATCAGCGGGCAATTGTTTATGGGATTTTTTTTTCAATTGCTTTTTGGGTTTTTGTTTTGTTTTGTTTGAGACAGGGTCTCTCTCTGTTACCCAGGCTGGAGTATAATGGTGTGATCTCAGCTCACTGCAGCCTGAACTTCCTCTGCTCAAACCATCCTTCCACCTCAGCCTCCCAAGTAGCTGGGACTACAGATGCGGGCTACCATACCTGGCTAAGTTTTGTAGTTTTAGTAGAGACCGGGTTTCGCCATGTTGCCCAGGCTGATCTCCAACTGGGCTGAAGCATTCTGCCCACCTAGGTCTCCCAAAGTGCTGGGATTACAGGTATGAGCCACTGTGCCTGGCCACTTTGTCTGTTTTTAAAATTCTTGTAGACAACCCTGTTAGGAGGGCAAGAGTTATTGTCCCCATTTTAGACATAGAGACACCAAGGCCCAGAGAGGTCACATAATATGATGTGGTAAAGCCTGTACTCAAGTCTGATTCTCTGCCAAGACTCTGACAAGTCTCCTAATGTCAGAGTTGGGGACATGGAGCCTGGGCCGACTTCACTGTGGGAACTGTCCAGTATAAGGAAGGAGATGGAGGGTCTCTCCTGCCAGTTTTGGGGTCTGTGAATGATTTTTCTCCCACTGTTAAATCCAGATACAGTATCACAAAGCATGCACTCCACTGGGACACATAGTCATACACACATATGCACACACAGAAACACGAGGAAGGAAAACAAATGCCTCCCAAAGCCCATGCTTAGAACATTGTTTGTATTAACTGCTGTTTTGGTCCTTTCTCTCAGGGTTCCTTGATCACTCAAGGGATTGAGCGCTTATTCTTTTTTAGGATTTGATGCAGACCCTCCTGCAGCCCAAAAGGGAGATTCTTAACATCCCACCTGGCCTGTTAGACTCTTATGAGTCAGTGACCTGAGGCGTCAACAGTTAACAGAATTTGAGAGAGGTTCTGAGATCCGTTTTACTGAGGACTTGAGGTCCAGTGGTATCTGATATTTCCTACAGAAATGAAAAGTCGCTCCCAGAAGGTAGATTCAGGAGTGTGGAAGGGGAGGATGAGCTGTGGGGCCTCTTTCTGATCTGGGTGGGGGGGGTGAAAGATAGGGGATGCTTCAGCAGAATAGTCCCCTGTACCCTTTCCCTGTCTGAGGTTGCTCCTCGCCACCCAACCAGGGGTAAAGTGCTTGCTACTGTCTTCTTGCTCACATCCGGTCTAGATTTGGTCAGGATGGAGCAGGGGAACCCCAGAGTTCTGCTTGCTGTGCTGGGGTTTGTTCATATAAGAACAAAGAGCCCATCTGAGTGGTTAAAAAACAACTTTATTATGAAGAATGTTCAAAACATAAAAGAAAATTAAAGAATGAGTCACATGTATCCATCAACCAACTGCAGTGATTATGAACTCATGAAGTCTTATCTGAGCTATATTCAACCCATTTCTCTTCCACATTTCAGTTTTTCAGTATGTATTTATTAAATAAGAACTCTGTTTTTTGTGTGTTTCTTTTGTTTTGTTTGTTTGTTTGTTTTAGAGATGGGAGCTAGCTCACCCAGACTGGAGAGCAGTGGTACAATTATAGCTTACTACACACTTGAACTCCTGGGCTCAAGGGATACTTCCACCTCAGCCTCCTGACTAGAAGGAAGGGCAGCCTGGGCAACAAAGTGAGATCCCATCTCTATTTTCCCCACCCAAAAAAAAGTTAACCAGGCATGGTGGCACACATCTGTAGTCGAGCTGTTTGGGAGGCCAAGACAAGAGGATCACTTGAGGCCAGGAGTTCGAGACCAGCCCAGGCAACATACCCCAGGCACTCATCACCAAACCCAGCTAATTTTCAAATTTTTTATAGAGATGGAGTCTTGCTATATTGCCAAGTTGGCCTCGAAGTCCTGGGCTCAAGCTGTTCTCCTACCTTGGCCTCCTAAAGTGTTGAGATTTCAGGTGTGAGCGATCACACCCAGCAATAAGAACTCTTTTTAAATAGCCACTGTACCATTATTACACCTTAAAAAATCTAACAATTACATTTTACAATTAGTTTATTAGAGTCAGGATATAAATTAGGCCACACATTGCACTTGCTTGTGAGGTTAGGTCTCTCTACTCCACCCAGCATTTTGTTATGAAAATTTCAAATGATCCTCCTGCCTCAGCCTCCTAAGTGGCTGGGACCACAGGTATGTACGCCATCACACCAGTTAAATTTTTTTTTTTTTGAGATGGAGTCTTGCTCTGTTGCCAGGCTGGAGTGCAGTGGCGTGATCTTGATCACTGTAACCTTCGCCTCCTGGGTTCAAGTGATTTCCTGCCTCAGCTTCCTGAGTAGCTGGGACTACAGGCACGTGCCACCATGCCCAGCTAGTTTTTGTATTTTTAGTAGAGATGGGGTTTCACCGTGTTGGCCAGGATGGTCTCAATCTCTTAACCTCTGATCCACCCACCTTGGACTCCCAAAATGCTGGGATGATAGGCGTGAGCCACTGTGCCGGCTACCTGATTAATTTTATTTTTTGTAGAGATAGGATTACACTATGTGGTCTCAGGCTGATTTTGAACTCCTGGACTCAAGCAATCTTCCTGCCTTGGTCTCCCAAAGTGCTGGGGTTATAGGTGTGAGCCACCCTGCCCAGCCTTTGAGTCTCGTTAATCTGTAGTCACCACCCCTGCCCCCCTACCTTTTTTGTTAGCAGAATGATTTTTTTTTCTTAAGACTGGAAATTGTTTTCAACATTTCTTCAGTTTCAAGGGTTTTGTTCAAAGCAAATGGCTGCTTGCTAGTTTCAGTCTTTTCCTCCTGGCTATAAGTGGCAGGTCCCAGCCCTCTATAGTTCTGGGAGGTGTGCAGCTGCAGAAACCACTGTACCTCTGATTGCCCCAGTGGGGAAGGGCCTGGTCTGAACCCTGGCCTGGCTGGCTAGACCCATGTTTCCTGACTGGGAACAACTGGCGAGTTGTGGAGAAGGGATTACTGTCATCCAAACATGGGGTCTTGAAGGGTGTCCTTGTGACTTGGCATTCTTGGAGA